TTCCTCCACTAGGTGGTACTCATTTAACTCACCTAGAGAGATGATTGCTTGAGTTGACCCCCCCCCCCCAAACTAGGATTTGAACTCGCAGCATTCTGATTGGATGTCGGACCGCTGCATCTCAACGCTAGAATTACGCAACAAATAACCATCGCACAAATTCTGGCGGTTCAGTGTCCTCGTCCGCCTGCTAATGCCTGCGTGATAACTGTGCTACAGTGGTGTTTATAAAGTCCAGTGGCGCCAGTAACAAGGAGGTTCTTGCCTGCGTAACAACTTACATCCAAAGTTTGACAATTACCTGAAACGAATTCACAAACAAAGTGGAACTTGTCCCAACAAAGCCGCAGCATAGTTGCTCAGGTCTACATTGTATAGCTAAACGGGAGAGGCAAAGGCGCAGCGCTGCAAGTGCTTGCTCACGTCACTGCTGCCAAAAAGGCCCTCCGTGATAGGGAACTCTAGCAACGGAAGAGGTGTCAAACAATCCTGCAGGTCGGAGTTACACACACTTTACCCCACCACACACAACCTGCCGGATCGACCAATTCCTTTGCAAAACACACATACGTTCTGGAAACGTGTTTGTAATCCAAAGCAATAGTATATCAAAGCACTCGTATATCAGTTGTGATCACGTGACGCTCGGCAGACAAAGCGTATACACGTACTACTCGTATTGCAAGACCTCGCTTGTTTATCGAATTAATATTTATAAAAAAAATTTGCTCGTCTTGCAAAACACTCGCAGACCAAGTTACTCGCAATCCAAGGTTTTACTGTATTTAATGAATGCTTGGTGGGGCCCCTCACCTGGTTACATGAAACTGAAACAACAAAATAACTGTACGGCATGCGATTGCTTTGGGTGATAGCGAGATCGTTCCACTTGAGGCTCAGCGACCAGGGCCCCAACTGCAGAATGCTGGTAGCACGCCGCGTAACTCACCAATGTGTCCTTGGTTAATATAGCGCAAGGAACAAAAAAACTCCCCTCATGGCCGACGGTCTGCCTTAGCTTCGCAGCGGAATAATTTTCAATTTACACCAAATGCTGATAATCCTCGACTAGCCCTTATTAGGCTCAGCTCCTAACAACCCGTGGCTCGTAAGTACATCCCCGTCCAGCAGATACTTGCCTTCTACATTTGAGATGCTGTAGCAACAACCATTACTCGTGTCCTCGCAACGCTCGTGAGCACGGCGTGCGTGCTCTGATTGCAAGCGCCGTCGCGAGCTCGGGTGTTCTTCACCATCACCTTTGCCCCCCCCTCAACCACCGGTTTTTGCCATACGCTTGAGCAGCGACATGTTCCACTCGACATTAGGAATGGCTGTTTTGACACCGCAGTGTACGACCACAGTGGGAGCATGGGGCGAAAGAGCCTTCAGGGTTACAAACATGAAGCCGAATGTCTCCTTGCTCATAGCGAGCATTTGCCAATGCTCTAATGTCGACGCATTTTTATATTTACGCGATCTAACCCAAAAAACTCCATTATGATATTGGTCGTGAAAGCCTCCATGTTAAAATACTCAAGTAAACTGCGAATCCCGATACAGGAGTGAAAACTCCACATCCCTATGGCAGGAACCAGTGCATCCATAGCACGTATATAATTTTAGAAGGATAGGTATGTGTATATAAATTTGAAACTATTATTATAATCATCATCATCAATTCCCTCACTGTGGAAGAATCTTATAAAAAATACCATTCTTCCAAACGCTGGCCTCCTAATGGAAAACTTTTTGAATTATGTCGACGTATAATACAGCCAGGTTGACGTTTAAAAACTCCCTGTGCCATTGCTGACAAAGCATTTGTATAAATACTCTCGCTCCCACACCGAAGTAATGCATCAAAAATGTATCCACATGCCACTGGTCTCAGCGCCAGAGCTAAGACCCGTGGCATGTGGGTGGTGGGGGGGGTGTTGACTCAGCCCATCATCCCTCCGGGTCGATAAAAAGAGTACCACTTTGTGGGGAAGTCAAAACGGTTTGGCATATGGACAGACTCGGCTCCTCGTAGAAATGTGATTTCCACAACTGGCTCAGGGCTACGATCCAGAGACGAGCGTCGCCTCGATGCTCACTTGTGCAGGAAAACACTCCCGGAGGTACGAGGAAGTCACCGTGTCTACAGCCCACCTCCTTCCTCCTCCATCATCCTCGCCAAGTGCATGTTCGCTTCATCAATCGCACGGTTGGCAGAGAGGCGATAACATGCGCTCCGATTGGTCGATCGCACGGATCACTCCGGAGCTGGGCTTTCCCACCACAAGGCTCGAGTCTCGGTAAGGAGGGGTGGGGGGGGGGTAGGCGAAGATTAAACGGATGAGAGCCGTCAAGCCGTGGGTGAAACAGTGCGGAGGAATGTAAGGGCCCGAGTTGATAAGAGCACTACACAGCGCACCTTTGTCACATTCCCACAAACGTATATCTATCTAAAACAAAAAACTATACTTTTTTATTTTACAAGCTAAGGCCCACTGAGCTATACAGCTCTTTTTCAGAAGCGACCTGGCCACAAATGATAGCTCAACGAAGTGGCTGATCATCGTGTGGGAATGTATGGCAGACAAAAACTCTAAACACGTGTTGATACTAAATGTGGAGGGAAAAACTGGAGCACCTGGAGAAAAATCCAAGCGACCACGGTGAGAACAGGCAAACTCCAAATAAACAGGCATCGTCAGGGCCAGGATCAATCCCATGACCTCCTGCATACCAGGCGAGGGAGTTAACATCTCGCCACCGTGTGCGTCTCTCAGCAGCCCGGACCTTCGTGTGTTCCCGCTGGACCAGTCACTACACTGTCTCAGCTAGTCCCCGTGGCTCTATCGCAATAACAACAAAATTCAGCAGTTGAAAAGGAACGGTTATAACAAAAAAAATTGCTATTTTAATTTTAATTTCTTAAGCAGCGTATTTAAATTGATCAAGCGCATGAGCAGTTATCATTTTTGTAGCGCTACGAATTTCCCCCTGCACTAGCCGGGAGGTGCCATGTCGGTGCATCTGACACGCAATGCTCAGATGAGCAGAGGCAGTGACCATCTCCTGTTTTCCATAATAAAGTTTTTTTTTTAGTTATGTCGCAGCCAATTAGTACGATTTGGCACATAAACAAAATGTGCCAATTAGTTTACTACTTCAGCCCACCGTGTGTTGGAGAGTGAACCCACAGCTGTGTCGGGTGATGGCGGGTTTAACGACACATTTATATTTATGAGATCCAACCCACAAAAAAAACATTATTACGGAGAATATTGGTCGCAAAAGCCTACGTGTTAAAATATCTCCTGTTTACCGCCCTGAGCCAGTGGTGGAAATTCCACATTCCTGTGGCGGGGGAAAGTCTATCCATAGGACAACCACTGGTGATGGTCTGAGTGAGCGCCTGCCCCAACCAGGAATTGAACTCGCAGACTTCAGCTTGCGAGCCACGGAGCCACCTGGAGGCTTCAAATTTAAAATCCCATTTGAGGTTCACTCAACTCATCGTTCCTCAAAAACTGCTGCAGTTACTACGTTTTGGGAAGTCACGGCAGCTATGGCCCCGGCACAAGAATAGAATATCGACTCTCCGCCACTTGTTCAGAGCCGCGACTGCCCTCCCCGCTCGCTGTGGTGCCAAGCATTGACACAACGTGAGCAAACATTACCCACAATGGGCATGCAGGTTCACTCCACGGGTACAAAACACGACTACAAAACGAGCTCTTTTGATGCAATCAACAGGCAATGGGGGATAAATGCAGCCACGTCCTTGTCGTGTCCCCTTGCAAGTAACCGGCCACGTCAGCCATGTCTGGGGAAACCAAAGCTGCAGCTAGCTGGCCGAATTGTCACGATACCAGCCGAATTGTCACGATACCGGCCAACACGTGGCCACAGTTACACCTCCCGCCCAGGCCTCAGTTCTCCAGGGCTGTAGGGCCAGCGCTCCGTGTTGTTCTTCAGCTCAATGTCGAAGGACAATCCTGCTTCTGAAAGCGACGTCTTGCATAATTTAGCCACATCACACAATATCGACGTCGTCTGTTTACAGGAGACCCATATTTCAGATGACCAGGCGGGGCGTTTCCAGACAGCTGGGTATGACCTTGTCTGATACTGACTTTACCCAGAATATGGCCGTGCAATGAATGTGAAATGTGAACTGGTTGGCGTCGAGCCGCTGCCACCCTCTCTTGCCTGCGATGCAGGACGCATTGGCGCGCTTATACTGTCTGCAATGTATACAAGCAGCCGCCATAAAAAGTGGGGGGATACGCAGCAGCCAGGTGGAATCGGGAATATTCACCGGACCTCTGCTGGGCCAGCGCAGCTCACGGCCATCAAATGCCAGCGTCGTGCAGCGTTCCGAACAACTGCCCCAGGAGTCGGCACCGCCCATCGTTTGTCCACATCGGACCACAGCTACCCATCATCAGGAGCACCTGAAAAACCCCGCTGGAACTTCCGCAAGGCACAGTGGACAGACCACGCTGCGCCGGTAGAGCGTAGCATCGTCTGCATCCCGAGCACCGTCTCAATAGAGTGAAGCGTACCCGCGCTGTATGAGGGCACTGACACACAACCGCGTGGTGTTTATTCCATCTATACCCCATGACGCAATGCTGAGTGTGCCGAGCTACTTCGACAATGTGAACAGTCTGGTGACCCGGAGGCAGCATCACGTCTGATTGACAGGCGTTCCCGTTGGGAGGAACTAGTCAGCAATGCAGATGCACTTCCGCGGCCGTCTGGAATGCTCTTCCTCCCGATTTTAGGAAGCTACTGGAGCTACGCACTTTTAAATTTATATTTAAAACTAATTTCTTTAGAACTGCTTGTTGTGCTTAGCTTGGTGTCCTTTCCCCCCGCACCTCCGATGAGCACGGTTGGCTACGTATGGTGCAAAAGAAATTCAATATACATACATACACACGTGCAAACCCTTCAGCGACAATCCCTTTGCAGGAAAACGATTAGAACGCGAAGATTTGCACCTGCTCGACGTGAGTGGCAGCAGCGGCAACGGACCACGACGGGGTGAGAGCTCTTGCCGCTGCGTCCTTCATTCACCTCGCTCGCTGCACCTCAGGGGTCGTCCTGCCACAGAAGCAACAGCAGCAGGCAGCAGCAGCAGCAGGGAAGGAACCAAGTTTTAATGAGGACAAACTCTTGCACCGAACACGGAGGAACTCATTATAGCATCCTGAATGACCCGACGCAGAAGATCCCTGACCTAGATCTTCCATGAAGGTTATGGGCAGCTACCCTAAAAAAAACGCATTCGCACGAAAACCACGGCAGCAACAGAAGCGGAAGCTTGATGATGTGCAGTGTGGGGGCGACCGCTGCCACCACCCATAACAGAAGCGTGGGACGTAAAGTGACTCAATGCCCGACTTGATCGTCGCAGCAACACAATCTGCGCAACTCCTGACGCAAATATCTGGCTCAACCGCCACAATGTAAAAATGATAGTTGTTGCTCTACATCAACATCAGCCAAATTAAGACGATCGCTATCATACAAATGTTAACAGTAAATATTGGCCCACTTACGAAGCATACAAGACCCAGGCAGCACATGCAGCCGATAAGTGTGTGTCAAGCATTTTCACGACCGCCCATCGGCCTCGATGCAGCGAGACTCGGGTTCAACTGGAAAGCCGGGCCCTAATTCCCACGCTTGAGCACTAAGCCACTACCACCACCGACAGCCTGGGTTTGAATCAGGAGAGCTGGCCTTGAATAAGCCAGGTCACCTAAGCGCAGGCATCTGATATGCCCATGGAAGCAACAATGTTATTCCTGTAATATTCTGTTCATGAAAGCACCGTAAAATATACATTGATTTAAAGCTGCTGAAACATGTATGTACGGAGTGTTCAGTTTTCTAAGTAAAAAAAAAATCTCCGTAGTTAATGAAGCTTCCGACAAGCCTGACTGCACGCACAGATAAGCGGCGATGCATTAGGAGAATCTCTTAAGACCGCGAAATGAAAATCTCAACCACTTAACCCTCTGCGAGTTGGGCGTTCTGTTGCGCGAGCGAGGACACGCGTACATGTGGCACGTTGAAAAATAGCCGCCGATGGAAAATATCGACGTTGGAGACACGTTGCCATTTTACAATGCTTTAAGCCAAGACCTGAAGAAAATCACTTATTGATCTGGCTCTGCGTTCGTTTGTTTGAAGTCGATCAAATACATCAACGGACGCTCAAAAATCCCCCTTTATTAAATCTCACAAGAACCCGCTCACAAGTAATTGGTGAATGTTGAAATAATTCAAGAGATTTCATGAAGGCATCTCGCTTGGATACTGCTCATCACTTTGGGCTGAGCAGACCGTGAATGGAAATTCCACATTTCTAATGGTGGGTGCAAGTCCCCCTCTAGAGGACAACCAATGTTGAGTTTGGCAAAAAGTGGTACTTATTTTATCAACCCTTTGGGAAGGTGATGATCTGCACTTATGACCACCTGACCGATTTTACCACTATGCCCGCAACACCACCCAATCGCAAAGTACAGTACAACGTCGCATATCCGACCATCACACATTCACCCTGACCAATTAACCGCCCACATCCGGTGCAGTAATTGTGCCTGGCGCCACTGTCATTTCCAACAGACGTTCCCATAACCGACATCGTTCATACATCCGCCTATACCTCAGACCCCCAGCGAGTCGGATGCGTGATGTTGTCCCGTAGCAATCGTGCGATGAGTGTTCTGTGCTCCTGAGATGATGCAAGGGTCGGTGGATTTTTGCACGCTTCCGAGACTTCGAACCCCACCGGGCAGCGAGGCGTCCACGGAGGTGGCAGTGCAAACCGGCGCGTTCATGAAGCCACGAATCCAAGCGAGTTGGACGTGCGACATTGTCCCGTAGCAAGTGGCAGTGAAAAACCAGTGAGTTCATAAATCCGCAGGTGCAGACCTCCCAGCATCGTCGCATTTGTACGCAACGGATTGTCGTGCCGGTAACAGAGGAGTGTGCTCACTTGCACTGAGCACACACCTCTGTGGAAGGGGAGACATATCCCAATGTGGGGCGGGGGGGGAGAAGGGTAAAGGTTAAACCCCTGCAATCGCTTGCTCAAGCAACTGCTAGGGGGAAGGGTGTCCCCCCCTCACGCCATACACCATTGGACACTTTTCTGTCTGCTCAAAACATTTTTTTGAATATTGCACATGCACTAGTATGTATAGCGGTAGTGTAGCGGTAAGCGCGCTGCGCTATGAACCCAGCCACCCAGGTTCGATTCCCGCTCACGGTAAACACCAGTGATGAATTTCTGAACCGGTCCTGGGACTCCCCTAGGTCGACTCAGCCTCAAGTACCCGGTGCGGTGTGTAAACATCGCCACTGGGGTGCTGGCCACCCACCCCCTCGTGTACCGTTCTGGCCTTCATAGGTGCTCGCTAACAGCACTTGCCCCTACAGTCTGTTAAGGCTATATGGGGTATCTTTGATCTTTGATAGTACACACTGGTTTGTGGACTTACGAGGCTCGCATCGTGTGTTTCAACAGCCGCATTGGGGCCCTCCTTAGAAGCCTTCACGCCAAGGGAGGCCTTCCTAAATAATTACAGTAGTTCCTCGGTTTACGATGCCCATCGATTCACGATATTCCGATGAATGATCCGCCTCCCATAGGATCCCCCCATTGTTTCTATGAACGATAAATGTTCGATTTACGATATCATACGGCCGCCAATTTTGGCCAATCGGAGCGCTCCTAAGTGGACTCAGCAGACCTGAACCAATCCGCGACGCCCTTTTGAAAGGAGACTCTCCTTCCAAAAAATAACGTTCTCCCACCCCAACTTTTCCATGAACCCCTAAGGTATAAATATTTAATTACTGCTCTATTTCTGCACCTTTTTATGCTCTGTTTATTCATTATTTATCCATGTTTCTATTAATATCGATGCTTCAATATGTTCTTATAACGTTTATTAAAATTGCGTGTTTAAATATTATAAACTATTGTTTTTATGGTGAAAAAGGTTGACTTCCGATCGTCTTGGAACAAATTAAGCCTTTAACATGCGTTTCCTATATTCGATTAACGATAATTTCAATTAACGATGGTTCTCGTGGAAACAAATTAATACCGTTAACCGAGGGACCCACTGTACTTTTAAATATCCTTTCTTGAGAGAGTCCACCATTGCTGACAGTAAGAATACGTCAGAGCATGCACGAAGGTGTCTCACTTTACACGTCGATGCAATCTCATTTTTGTTAGATGTTTTTGGTTTCTTGTAAAGCATCGCAAAACTTAACCGTTTTTTCACATTTTTCATTTGATTTGCCAAAGGCTGAGATTTTTTATTTGACGTTTTATGTTTTTTTGCGACTTGCCACCAATTTAACAAAAGTGCCGCCGCCGTTCAGGGTAAACAAACAAAAAGGCTCCGTGGCCTTCTGGTGCGATGTGAACAAGAATGTCACTAACGAGGTTCAACGGCCAAAACGGTTTTCATCGGGAGCGATGTTTTTCAGCAACGTTCCTTGTGCATGGAAACCATTGTCTGGTTACATTATTCCACGTATAGTCTGCAGGGGACTGCCCCACACAAAAAAAATCGTACGGCTCTTTCCTGACTCTATAGGCAAGGGACATCCATGAACATGTGGTATATTGAACGGTTATATGAATGCGAAGAATAAATGTCCTTCTGGAAATCCATCAGTCAGCAAAGCCTCTCTGGAAGGTATAATTTTAACCGCTTGGGAAGTCCTTCGGCAGGCCTTTTATTACCACACTGCTTGGCGCATGCCAATAAAGTCATATTTTTAATTAAAAATTTAGCCTGCATATTTCAACAAGGCCAAATATCTGGAAAAACAAATATCTAGAGAGCCTAATTTTTTTTTACGCGATCGCTGGTGATGGAGATGAGACCACCAGCACACGTTACCGCTGCAAAGTGCGGCCGCATAAAGGGGCGGCTGCCTGTATTTTGCAATCCACGTTTCTCAGCGGTGCCAGCTCCTAGGCGCTTCGACACGGGGGGATTATCGAGCCCCTCTCCTCGGATTCGCCCAGCTACTTCTGCAATGTCCCGATAATTATCACGCACACGCCAATGCCGCAGCTTAATCGCAAAAGCCGGCAGCCTCGTTGTTTGCAATGACGCCCGCCTACATTGTCTGGATGGACGACATGCAAATTAGGCGACTTACCATAAGGCTCGCCGACGACAGTTAAACACGCGAAAAATTGCTCCGTCAAGTTGAGTAATTGCCATCGCAAAAAACATTTGCACCCCAGGGTCTCTTGGCGACAAGGCTGCCGATCATTTTATTTTCCCATCACTGAAAGGCACGTCCATTTCAGGGGCATTTCGCGTCGCAATTAATTTCATTTGCCGGAGCGGCAAATCACGCTCGATACTCACCGAGCGACCCCAGCCGCCAGTGATGGCCAAACGACACTATCGCAAACCGGCATGACAAAACGTGCAGCACAGCGAAGGATTTATTAAGAAGGATGGCTTAATGGAAGGATTACGTTCAAAGCCGAGCGTGCGGTTTACCGCTCCCATAATAGATGTTAGCGCGGTCACATCTGCATGAGCGCTGAGGGGCTGGCGGAGGCAAGTCGCGGGATGTAAGCCCCCACGATGCTGCCTCCGCCGCATTATCTGCAGCGCAACGAATACATCGAACCGTGAACCTCGTCTGAAGGATAGAAAAAAGCCAGAACGCAGGCAGAACCGTGGGTCCCCCATCCCGCTCGCATGACCCGCAAACGTGAGCGAGCGAGCAACATCGCAGGCCTCCCGAGCGTGGACTTGGACCAAATCAATCCTCGCAGAGGTCTCCGTCACAACGCGGCTGCGACACCGTAGCCAGACGGGGCCCCTTCACGCGGCTCTCCTCTACGTAGCGCCGGCCGAGCGATCTGTTGATCGCGGTTGACTGCACGTGTTACCCAGGCCTGCATCTTTAGCGAATGTCACCGGCTCAGCGGGCTATATTTAACATGGAACATCACTCCTACGCCGTGGCGGCGGGGGGCAGAGTTCCCATTGTATCGCTAATTGCAGAGGAAAAGCAAAGGCATACTTCAAGGTTGTTTGTTG